CCTTCCCCTCCAGATAGGTCCAACCTATCTTCTCTGATAGAACTTCTCTTAGAAAGTAAATAGCTTACAAGGAAAAAATGTTTGCTGCCTTCTAGGGTTACCCGAACCCTAGTCTCCTCTGATCCTTCCTGACCACCAACACTTTGCAACCCTAGCAAGTTTCCAATAGCTGCTAGCACTTCTGGCGATCTCCAAGAATCAGTCTGTGAACTCCTCCTTTTTAGCTTCCAGTCCTAGGAGATTCTCATGTGGTCGGCTGGTATTAGGCTCACATGAGAAACCCTAACTTGGCTCTGATACCATGTAGTTGATCAAGACTGCTATCAGTCTTGATCACTAAGAAATTTCAGGTTCGAAGAGAAGAGAAAGTGAAGAAGAAGAAGGAGAAAGAGTGGTGAGAGAGCAGTAGAACACAGGTTTTGAGGAGAAGAACAGAACAAGTAGCAATGTATGATTGGCCTCTCTTTCAACTAGACATCAAGAATACCGTGGTATGTCATCTACCTGTTGTGAAATCATTTGGCTTAAAGTCCTTATGGACCTAATAGTTGACCACTCATCCGCGGTTCCCCTATTTGCAAATAATATGAGTGCAATAAAGATTAGCCACTAATCCAATGTTCCATGAGTGCACAAGCATATTGAAGTTGATTTCCACTACATTAGAGATTAGTTCCTTGTCGATCACATTTCTCTCCCTCATGGCATTAGTTTGAGGGGGAGTGTAGAGATGTAAAGGGTTGGGGCTGATTTTCCTTTTCATAAAGAAATTTTTCATTAAGAAAATGAGACTAAGTACAAGAGAAAGGTGACAAGATATCACTGTGAGAAAGCAACAACACCAACTAAACAACAACAAGCAGCCATAAAAAACAAAAAAGAACTCCAAGAATACAACTCAATGCCAATCTCCTAGAAGCCTCCAACTTCCGACACCACCCCCGCACCAAGGACAACCACTTGACTCTTCCAAAACAAAACAAAACACAACAAAAAAATGTCATCACTAATCCTCCCCCTAGAGCATCTCCTCTTGCCCATCATCAGCCTCATTCTAGACCTCTCCTCCTTCCCCTATTGCACTCTTCTTTACACTATCTTCCCCCCTTTTCCTTTCGAACTCCCCGATGGCATTTCTAGCAAATGCCTCACCACCTAGAAAGAACAGACCAAGACTCTTGCCAACCTCAACATTTCTCTCAGCAATTTCTCAAGAGCCAAGCACCCTTCTCCCTTTTTCAACAAAGGTTTTACCAACCAAATTTCCTGTATTTTCATCTCCACCATTTTTCCTCTTCTCTTGAGACTCTCCACCATTTTTCCTCTTCTCTTGAGACAAATTCACCAAGCTGGAATCTGAACTGAAGTGGTCAAGTGATTCAACCCTATCCAAAACCTTGGTGCCAACTTCCCCCCATTCTTAAATACACCCTCTTATAATTTTTTGTTGTCCCTGCTCCAATCAGACCATGTTTTAGATGAGAAAAAAGGCGTAGGAAGTGTACACCTAGAGGCACGCCCCCAGGTGAGGCGCCCCCAAAATGCCTTGAGGTGTATGCTAGAGACGCTGACACCTTTGAGGTGTATGCCTCATACACTTTTTTCATGAGGTGTGCTAGAGGCTTACGCCTCAGGCACACCTCATGTAAAAGTACATAAAAAAAAAAAGAAAAAAAAATAAGGAAAGGAAAGAAGAAGAAAGGGAAGGGGAAGAAAAAGAAAGAAAGAGAAAAAGAAAGAAAAGAAAAGGAAAGGTAAGGGAAGGGAAGGGGAAAGAAAGTGGGCAGGGCACTAAGCCCCTGGGCCCCTTGGCTGGGGGGCTTCACCCCCCAGACTCCCAGCCCCCCCCCCCTTTCAATTTCAACTAGTGCTATGCATCTTCATTTTTCTTAATATAAAATATTTTTATTAAAAATAAAGAAAAATGAGATCTTCTTCCTCTTCTTTCTCCTCATCCCCGCTCCTCTTAAGGAGGCTTATGCTTCCTTGTGTTCGGGAGGCTTATGCCTCTTACATTCTGAACTACGCCTCACGCCTCTAGGTAGTGGAATGCCTCGCGTCATGCCTCTGTGTTTTAAAACATTGGTGCAAGTTACTTGGGCTACGAGTTTTGGGGAACCAACTCTCTAACAGAAATCTCATCTCTTTCCTCTACCTTCCTCTTACGACCCAAATCTACACCTAGCTTACCAACCACCACCTCCTTAAAAGAAGAAAAATCCGAAGACAACTTGTCTTATGAAAAATCCCAAATTTCAGGAACAACAACTGTACCTTCTCTAGACCCATCTCCACTTTCTGAAACTCTCAGATGACCAACATTAGCAAGCTCACTCGCCTCTGCCCCACCCCTCCGCCCAAGCTCCTCCTCCCCTTTCTTCTCCCTCCTTTGGACCATTCACCAAAGTCACCACCAAGGCCGAAATGGCATCAAGAGACGGGGCAACATTGGTAATGGAAACACCACAAACCTCTGTAGTAAGTCCAAACTTGAAAATAAATAGTAATTTTGTTTTACTGAAAATAGTAATCTTGTGCTATAGGTTTCTCCATTCTTCAAATGGCTGATTTTTCTTGCAAATTCCTACTTCACTTTTTTTTTTTATAAGTAAAAGATCATTAAATTTCATTGAGAACAAAAATAGCACTGTTACAAGCATCCCATAAGGAGGCGTGAGATGTAGCCTCACTATTAAATCAGAGCTAGCACTGTAATTACAATTGCGCCCAATACAACTGATCCCTAATTACCCCTTGCTTTGCTAAAGAATCAGCCAATGCAATTGCCTCCCTTCCCACCCATTGTATACTTAGATTCATCTGCTGTGTTAACCACTGGAACTTCTTCATTTCATTTCTATAACACCAAATCACTGAATCTGGATTTCTTAGTCATCCTACCACTACCTTGGAGTCCCCTTCAATCACTAGGTTCTCCAAATTCATGTCTTTTGCAATCTGAACACCTTGTAAAACTTCCTACTTCACTTAGAAACTAAGACCTTGTTGCACTTGAATTTTTCTAGCATCTTTCCTAATAGGTCTAACAATGGGTAGGACAGACTTGGGTACAATGGAAATGTTCAAATTTTAAAGATACATGTTCACTTTGCAAACTTTTCCTACTGAATAGATAGGAAAAATAACAAAAATAAAGAACTGTTCCACATGAAATGCAGCTTTCAATATCAGTAGTTACATATATATTAGAGGTCCAATGAGAACTTCACAAGCATTGCACCTAAACCCAAGATCCAGTTAACTTGCATCCATTTTCAGAAGAAAACCTAGTCATGAGAGATTTTTCAAGGCATGTATCAGATTGTCAATTATTTTCTACACTTATTCAAGTCAGAAAAACATACCATGCTACTAAAGTAGAAACCAACTGTGGTAAAGTAGAATGATAGCATTCTATAAAAGTCAAATCGACGTCCTAGTCGATAAACTTCACGGCTCATTGTCTGTTCTCCATTTCCATTTGCCACCTTAGCCTCAAAAAGTGATATTTGATTCATTCCTACATCACGACCCTTTCCGACTTGGATATACTCGTGATGAGTAACATACCCCCCACGAAGAGTTGAATTAAATCCTGTAGAGATTTAAAAGTTAACCATCTAATGACATACATCCACCTGTAATAATTTAAGAATACATATTTACCTGAAAATATATCCTCGCTTAAATTAATTCCTTTTGAAGCTTTGCTTATTCCACCTCTTGTCAGGTGAAAAATTCTGTCAAATATATCAGGATGACCATAATGGAACCTCACCCTATTAAGTTAGAAATGAACATCAATCAGAAAATCGACTTGGTAATGCCATTAAATACCATCCAATTTGAGCTAAAACATTTAAAATTTGAAAATTCCAGTTATTTGGGATTTTTTTTTTTGTAGTGGAATCTGCCATTGTAATATTGGTCACACTATCTTCTCTTGTTAGTTTTATTTGTTCAAGATGTAAAATACATGGGAAAGCTCCCCTCTGTAGGTATGCATATGGATCAGATCCAATAAGAAGCATGCACCTCAAAATTTCATAATATGTCTAATAATAAAAGGACATGTACAATAATAAGGTTTACATACGCAGGAGGGCCTTGCTTTTACAGTTGACCATCACATGGTATTTATTTATTTCTAAGGAGGTGGTGGTCTGGTGATCTTTGAGAAAGAAAGGGGCATCAAGGTAAGTTAATGTAGTCGTATGAGACTACTAACAGCCCAAGCTGTGGTGTATAATCAACAGGAAATTAAGAGGATGAGAGGAGAGAATGAGAAGAGAAAGAGAAAAGAAGAGAAGAAGATTTCAAAGGAAGGATTTCAGAAAAGAAGAGGATGCTTAATCTGCCGCCCCCCTCTTTCTATTTATATTAATTTTGAAGTAAGGATAAGAGTGCTTACATGGAAAAATTAAAATCCTAATAAAAGACAATAATTAAAGTCCTAATAAAAGACTAAAGTCCTAATAAAAGACTAACAACTAATTGTGGACTGACACTTAAATAACTAGTAGTTGTATACGAGTACAATAGAAAGAGGTGGGGACCACATCAGTGGTTTCTACAGTTAAAATGACTAGAAATATGTAGTATAGAGTAATAACTAATGTTAACCCACTTTAGGAAGAGACAACAGAGTTTTTAACCATGGTAAGTCCACAGAAAGGGTTAGTGCTTAGTCCAAATGTTTTTGCATTGATAATAGATGAATTAATCAAACACTTATGCAATGAAATTCCATGCTATAAGTTTTTTGCAGACAAAATAGCCTTTGATTGAAGAGAGTATAGATTGCTAAATCCAAATCTAGAACTATAAAGAGAAGCATTAGAATGAAAAGGTTTTTAGATAAGTCAAACCGAAATAAAACATGCATTGCAATCTTAATTGAAGCAGATAAATAAAATTAATGAATCAATAGATAGCCCAAAGTAACCATTTCCATTACCTTGGTTCAATCATTTACAGTGAGGGAGAAAGTGAATGGGATGTTGCTCATAGATTTGAATACAGGTAAAGAGATGCAAGGATCACATTGATTAATTGGATTAAGCACTTAGACCAAAAGGAAGTTTTCCTTCCAGCATTATATGAAACAATGTGTTGGACAATCAAGAAGCGAGTTCAAATGAGCATAACTGAGGAGAAGATGCTAATATTATGAGTGGCATGACTAGGAATGATTGGATCAGAAACAAGCACATTTTCAGGGATCAACGATTGCCTTCTTCATATAAGAGCCCTTTGTTTTGCAAGTCCACAGCATATATAACCTTTTTCTTTTTTTTTTGGGGGTCAGTCAGCAATTAGAACTTTTTCTAATCAACAATTATACTGTGCAGTTTCCTTTTAAGATTAATCAGCCTATATAACAAATGCGTCTTTCTATTTGTGAATTTTTGTTAAGATAAATCAATTGATGCATATATCCCTAAATCTTGGATGAACGATAATCAATTGCCATTCAATAGAGAATGTCCATTTAAGTCTCTTTGGTCTCAAATCTCATATTCACTTTTAAAAGTTAACCAAGATTGGTCAGGATCTCATATTGCCAGAATGGAGATGCATTTTTCAGTTTATGCAAATTAATCGACACAAATTCCTGATACAGTGGAATAAATGTAATAATGCATAACATCCTTACCTTTCAATGGATATGGTATTAAACAGAATAGAATGAAAAAACAGGATTCATGTAGCCAACCACATATGGTTAGGATAAGGTTTGGATGATGATGATGATCCTTACCTAAGAGGATTTGCTAAAATCCTTTGCCCAATAGTTACAAAGCTTGTCTCCTGATTGGACATGAACCAAGCGAGGGATGAAACACTGAAAACATGAGAGGACAAAACTAAGCACTTCAAATCATATTATGCTGTCAATATGTCTTTTGAATATTACTAGGTTGTATTTTAATCCAGAAGCAGAACTCCTCAAGATCAAACTAAATGTACAGAGAAGTATGATAAGACTAGCCTTCCAGTAAAAATGTGCTCCCTAAGACCCAAGATTGTAGGTTTCCGTTGTCTACGACGTAATTTTACTAACTCTTGTAGAACATTTCTCATCTTGAAGGCTTCCTCAAGGTAATTATCCTAAACATGATGAAGGAAAAAAGATCAGTGACTGAACTTATCTTACCTATGAATGGATACCAAGTGGCTGTTACCTGATTCATGTCTATGGTCTGAAGTGCTTCCCCACGAGTGAAAATTATGGCATGATTTTGATTTTCTGGTTTTCCTTCACCAATATCTGTTGGAGGACCTGGGAGCTTGATTCGATAAATTTCCTATCAAATAAATAGGCAAGCATAATTCATATGTAATAAGTAAGATGCGCAATCTCATATCATCCTAAATCATAGAAGTGATATTAACTTAACCCACAAATCTAACAAGTTGCATGGATCCCAGGAATCATGAATAACCTTCAAAGTGGTGAGCAATCAGAAAATAGTTGGTAAGCCTACTACCATAAGGTATAGAAAACACATATCTGGTAGGAAAAACAGCATTTTGAAGCATAGGAAGTTTTTATCTGTTTTCTGTCAATTGTTGAATAAACTCTGTACATGGATATTTACTTCTGTAGAAGATGCAAGTCATATATATTCAATAATTTATGTTTCACTAGTTGTTGAATAGATTTGTTCACAGTTCTGTACCTCATCTGCTCCCTTGAGAAGCACAGAATAATAAACCTTTTCAGATTTTCCGTTCACTGTATCCTCTCCCTCATCAATGTAAGCAACACGTAATGATGGATACCTGTATAGATTTTGTACAATTGAAATTAATGAACAATTTAACAGGTTTCAAGAAGTTTTGAGGAGTTGAATCGGAATTAGTATAGCTTACTGTTGCATGAGATTCAAAATGTTCTGAGAAGAATTCTTGTCTCGAGCATCACCGGATTTTTTCTGCATACCATAAACCTGACAAGAAACAACATAAGTGAACTTCATATCAGCCACAGCCTGTGAACGGGCAGCAACAGCCTCAGCATGATTGTTATTCATATCAATTGTCCGGTAACCCGAAAAAATAGCTGCATAATGAACATTATAACTCAGGGTTAGTTATTAGGATCAGCAGTTGCTAATCTATGGTACAACAATACAATGTTAACAAAAGGTGAATAAATTGATCTAAAGAATGACAAGACATCCATGGCACAACTTGCTTACCTTCATCTTCTGCCATCTCAAGAAAGCATTGGAGTTCTAGTGCTTGCCTATAGTACATCATCCCTCTCACTGATACAAAAGTTTAATCAGGATGGTAATGCTAATAAAGATGACAAACATAAAGGAAGATAGGCTGAAAAATTCCTCATCATTCAAACCTGTCCTAGAAAGAGTTTGCCCTCTGTGAGATACCCAGAGACGAACCAATTCTGACTTCTCTTTTCCAGCATAAATTGGATCCTTTATACGTTCCATAAAATTGTTCCATTCATCTGGTTTTCGGTCACAGTGAACATTTGGTATTATTTTATACCATTTTCAGTAAAAAAAAGTAAAAAAATGCATGAAGCATCAAGAATTACCAGGATATATTTTCTGTAGGTAAAATAAAGTTGATATTCCATCCTCATTTTCCTTTCTAAGTTCTTCCACAGAATAGAGAACATCTTCTTTGAAATATGGAGTCAGGACACTAAATCAAGAAAAAGACAAGTTATTTGAAGTTAGCATAAGAAGTTAGAAAACAAAAGCAGCCAGTCAACTCTCATCCACAGTTAATAGACTAATATTAAGGAGCACATGGCCATCCAAGCACGGAACAATAAATAGAACTACTTTGGTGTAAGTGGAAGGTCTATTCATGCTTGATGTGTTCCAAAAGTCCTAAGAATTTTGGTGTATCAGTTGGATATATGACAAAAAGAAAGCTAAAAAGAGGGCACCCCCATCCACTCAAACCACCTCTACTTTTTACATCGACTCCATCTGCCTCTCCCTTTATTGCTCTCTACCATTCCATCTCCAACTTCCACCATCCCCTACCCCTACACCACTAAGGCTTTGCCATATCCCAACAAAGTAAGCTATGAACCACTTTAGATAAACCCTCTGAGCTCAACACCAAATCATTATCAAGCAATAGTCTCTCTCCCTTCCATTTTCAAATTACTGACTAGCCTCATGGAGAACACCCATCTGCACCCAACTGGTTTCTTTCCTTCAGGTTGATCCACCAGCTCCCATGTCTCATTTTTAATGAGTGCATTCATTTCCTCCTTCATTGCATCTTTCCACTCAAGCATAGAGAGAGCTTCTTGCACAGTTTTAGGAATGGATATAGCAGAAATGGATGCCAAATAAGATTTATAGGATGGGAAAAGGTGGTTATATGAAAGAAACTGAGATATGCAATGAGCAGTGGATGTGATACATCTCCGTTTCCCCTTACAGGCTATAATGGGAAGGTCAAGATCATTAGTAGAAGACAATGGCTTGTAGTGGTAGTCTCAAGAGTGGAAGGTGAAGTGGTAGTATCTGGATCAGGTGTTGCAGAGGAAACTGGAACTGGCCTAGGCTGATCAAGAGCACCAAATAATTCCTTTTCAAGAATAGGAATAGGAATAGGAAGGGGAACTTCAGGAACAAACACACCCCTCTCTTCTCTCTCCCCTTGAGATGAAACTCCCGGATAAAAGAGAACATCCTCAAAAAAGGTAACATCCATGGGCACAAACTGAGAACTAGAAATTGGGTCATAACAACAATATCCTTTTTGATTTTGTGCATAACCAAGGAAAATGCATTTGGAGGCTTTTGGATCAAATTTAGAATGATTAGGACCCAAAATCTGAACAAAACATGTGCAACCAAAGACTTTAGTAAACAAGTCTTTCTTAGGATAAAGTGAAGGGAGCTTTCATACCCAATATACGAGAGGGAACTTGGTTAATGAGATACACATCCGTATGAATTGCATCCCCAAAAAAATATAGGAACATTTGAATTAAGCATAATGTTTCTTGCAACCTCAAGGATGTGCCTGTTCTTTCTCTCAACTATCCCATTTTGCTGAGGGGTATGAGGACAGGTGCTCTGATGAATAACCCCATATTCAATGAGGTATGAATTCAATGATTTAATGAAGTACTCTTTGGCATTATTAGATCTGAAAGTTTTGAACCTCACCCCAAATTGAGTAAGAACCATTTGGTGGAAGACACGGGTCAAGGTAGGGACCTCATCACGTGAACACATGAGATAAACCCAAGAGAAACGAGAATAACCATCAATAAATAACAAGAAATACTTGTATCCCTCCATAGCAATGATATGATATGGTCCCCAAACATCAATATGCACAATTTCAAAAGGAACAATGCTTCTTTTGTTAATCAAAGTATAGATTGATATACAATGTTTTGCTAACTCACAACTTTCACACTTTAGATTGGACACTTGGACTGATTCAAACAAAGTAGGAAAAAAGACTCCTTAAAAACCTGTTAAAACTGTTAAAATTCTAGAGTTGGCGCTACCAATCAAGTTTTTTGACTCCAAAATATCTCTCTCTTCTCTCTTCGAAATGTTCTTACTTTCTACTGATCTTTACCAAGAAAACATGGTATCAAAGCGGGAGATTTTGGATTAGAGGCAGTTTGCCCAAAATTTTTCTCAATTTTTCTGGTTTTCTCTATTTCTTGTGGATCAAACCTAAGGAAGAGTACATTGGGTTGACCTGAAAGGATATCCTGTGCAATTCTTCCCTTTCCCTCTTGGTCGTGGGCCAAGAAAACACCTAGGGAAGGGAGATTATATGCTGTAAGGGTGCTTTTCTCTATTTTCTCTCAATTTCTATGGATCAAATGATCTTTTTGTATCCAGTTAAGTGGGTTGTGAAAGGGTGATTTCTCAGCTTGTGTGGATCAAGTGATCCTATTTTGTGCCCAGAAAGGTGGGCTGTTCAGGTCTGAATGATCTGGAACAACTATGACAGCAGTTTTCTACTTATTTGTTAAAGACTGCAGTAGTCGTGTGGCCAAAACCTGGTGAAGTGTTACTCGCAGGGACTGTTCAAACCTAGAATTGATTTGTTTTGTCTCTGGAACTGGTTCAGTAGGGTGGTAGTGTGAGAACAAGCACTGAATTGTGATTGAACTGTGGCTGAACTGAGAACAAGAACCTTGACTGAACTGTGGCTTAACTAAGAACAAGTACTATGTCTTCTGAGGATTTTGGTATGTCTGGTGTGTCTTCCAGTCAAAATGGAGTGAATGGAAGATTTGACATGACTTTCCCCATGGCTGTGATCCCTTTTGATGGTCTCAATTATCTAGAATGGTCAACGGGAATCAAGCTTTGCATAATTGCAAGGGGGAAAGTGGGTTATATTAATGGTAAAGTTAAAGAACCAAAGTCTGGGGGTGTAGAACATGATAGGTGGGACTAGGAAAACATTATGGTGATGTCATGGATGTTATTGTCTATGTTGCCACAAGTAAGGAAGACCTTCATGTGGGTAGAAACAACTCATGAGATTTGGGAGCATGCTAAATCCACTTATTCAGAACAATGGCATTATACCAGAATTTATCAATTGCAAGTTGCATCCTCAACTTGTAAGCAGGGGGAGAGGAGTCTCTTTGTTTACCATTCAGACTTAACCTCAATTTGGAAAGAACTAGACCATTATCAGAACATAGACTGGAAATGTGATGTAGATGCCAAGGCCTACAACTCTTTGGTTTCCTAGCAATGGGTTTTTGCCTTCCTCTTGGGGCTGAACCCTACATATGAGTCTATTAGGGTTCAAATATTGGGAAGTAAAGATCTCCCAACAGTGCAAGAAGTGTATGCCCTAAAATAGTCAGAAGAGAGCAAACGGAATGTGATGAATAATTCTGAGAGGGAGCAAATTGCCTTAGCAGTTAAAGGGAGTGTAGTTACAAGAGGTGGTAATTCCGTTAAGAAGAGTGACTTCCGAAAGAAAGTTGATGAAAAGGATAAGTTATGGTGCACTCATTGTCAGAAGTCTAGACATAATTAGGATATATGTTGGGAACTTCATGGGAAGCCAAAGTGGGCCCAAGAGCTGAGTAAAAAATCATATCAAAATAAGAAACCAAGACAGCAAGGTCAGAAGAAGTTGAATGCAACAAACTTAGCCTCTCAGGAGTCTCAACCATCTATTGCTACCTTGAGCCAGGAACGCCCCTCCATGACCGATCCCAAGGAAGATATCATTAATTCTTTTCGTGACCATTTGGATTCCCCTCCACCCCCTCAACTTCCTTTGCATCTACATCAGGTAATGGTAATTCTGCCACTGCTTTCCATTTGTCCTCTCAACCCTCAGACTCCCCCTGGATAATAGATTCTGGAGCCTCGTACCATATGATTGATAAGTCATATTGCTTTCAATCCTATCAACTATTATTTGGTAGGGGCAAGGTGAGACTAGCTGATGGCTCTTTTTCTACCATAGTTGGTCAAGGAACCATCTCCCTTCCTTTTGAACTTCCCTTCTTAATGTGTTACATGTTCCAATGCCTATAAACTTGTTTTCTGTTAGTAATATTACAAATTCGTTAAACTATTCAGTAACTTTTCCTTTTTCTTGTGTGATATAGGATTTGGCCTCGGGGAAAATGATTGATAAAGGTTGTATGGTGGATGGCGTCTACATGATGGAGAACAAAGCTAGCCTTGCAGTTGTTGAGTCTAAGAGTCAATCAAATAACAGTCAAATTTATTTATGGCATAGTAGCTTGGGTCATTTATCTTTTGAGTCACTAAAGTTTTTGTTTCCAGAATTATTCAAGTCAATGTCAATGTTTGAGTTCACATGTCAAACTTGTTAGTTGAGCAAACATTGTAGAAATCATTTTGCTTCAAGAAATAATAGATCTGATTTTCCTTTCCATATTGTTTACTCTGATGTTTGGGGCCCTATTATTTTACCATCTGATACTGGCCATCGAAACTTTATTACACTTATTGATTATTACACCAGATACACATGGGTGTATCCCATGCGGTCTAGAGATAAGGTGCCAAAATTTGTTCAAGATTTCCAATGCATGATATTCACTCAATTTCAGACGAAAATCCAAAATTTTCAATCCGACAACACATGATTAATAGCGAGAAAATCAGCCTAAATAATAATTAATAATTAATTACTAAGTATTAATTCATATTTTATTTTATTAATACTCATTATTAATTAACTTATAAATTTTAAATTTTTGTTATTAATTATTAATCAATTAATATGTTTATTAATTGAATTAAATTATTTTATTAAATAATAGATAATTTATTAATGGTTCATGGGTCTCATATTAACTCTTAAAAATACTACAAAGGAAGTTGTTTTTTATGTTAAGCAAGTTTCCCTCTCCTTTCCCACTTTCTTCCACACCAAGATGGTGGCGATTTCCCAAGAATTGAGAATTGCAATCCCACATTTTTCACATCCCATCCTATGACATCCCCCACAAACCAAACATGGGAAGGAAGACCATTCCTTTTTTCCCTTCCTATCCCACAAACCAAACGGAGCCTACAAAATACAGATTTTGAAAGTACGTTTGAATCTAACATCCATGAAGTCACAATACAAACCCTAGGTTTCAAGACTCAGATCTCAACAAGCTATTAACAAGTCACTGGAAACAAAAACTGAGATTAAGATAGAATGATAGAACTGATACAGAGGATCTAACCTGAAAGAAAGCATTTCACGGACTTTTGGAGCACTTGGCATTTTCATAAATAAGGAATTGGTAAAGAAAGTTATTCGGCGTCGAGCTTCCAAATTCGTGGGAACATTTATTGCTGATTCCTTTACAGTCAAAAGCAAATGAAGCCTAACAACCTGCACAAATAATAAAAGAAACACAAACAGAACAAAGAAAAAATGAATAACACGAGTGATCATACAGAAATATAGAGTACAAGATGTAATGATCCAAATGACAATGAGCATGATATGTACCTTCTCCATCCAATCTCTACTTTGCATACGACTGAGGTTTATTTTTTCAAATTTCTGCTCCATTTTTTCACTGAGGTTTATATTTTCGGATTTCTCCTCCAATATTTCATCTTGACCGTCACCTCCATGTTGATTATATTTTGAAGTAATACTAGTAAAAGGAAAAAAAAAAGGATATATTAATCAAGTCCCAGTCTGTTTATCTGACAAAGTTTTCATCTATGAAGAATCTTACTCGGGTCCATTAACCATAATATCCTCAGCAATGATCTCCATAATATCTTGAAGGACATTGATGATTTGGGTCCGGTATAGCTCAATATCTTTTTCTTTCTGTTAACAAAGTATGAAAACCTCATAGCCAATGAGCATGGATTATTCTCCAGGTCAGCAATAAAAATAAATAAATGCAGCATTGAAGCAAGATGTTACCAAAAGGTTTAGCAATTTTTCCAACTTTTCATTAAGCAGAGGCAGCCCACTCATTCGGAAGTGGTTCAAGAAAATTTTCTTCTTTATGCTAACATCCACGTGCTCACATATGTCACGAATCAATCTGGATGGAAAGAAAAGCCAAAATGTCATGACATCTAATACACAAAGAAATATAGATGAAGAAAAATGATGGGTATACAAAAAGCATTTTCTACTCCTTACTTTTTTTCTGCATCATCATTCATAAGACCAAGTAGTATATCCTTTAGTGTTTCATAACATTCTATCACTGCCGAAAGCATGTAATCATCATTCTTAATCTTTTTAAACAGATCTGCATCATCCTTCCCCTTGAAATCTTTTGCCATATTCAATGCAATAGGTATCTATGTAAAGGCAGAAATTAAATGAAAGAGTCAAGCAAGACACACACACACACAAAAAAAAAAAAAAAACATATCCATCAGGCAAATGATCACAAGAAATAACACATGAGACATACCTTACTGGCAAGAAGAAAAGGTGGCCATTGGACAACAGATACAAAACCTGAAGCATATGGCACAAGAAGCAGGCTTTTCTCCCTGGACAATAAAAAACCTACTCAAGGAGCTGAACTTAAAATTAAAGCCCTATATTGACAATAATGTAAGGAAGATTCAGATTCAACCTATTACTGATTAAGTCCTCCTGTCGCAAAGAATTGATGAATTCATTCCACAGCTGAGAGAATTTTGCAATGTTCTTTCGTTCATCATGCTGCTATTTCAGAGGATTCAGTTTTAGAGGAAAAAACGATTTGTCATTTAAAAAGGCCTGAATTAAGAAGTGGCAATTATTGACAGGACATGACAAGTTAAGTCTTGATAATTCAGATTGGCTAATACCAAAAACAGGTTGCAGTTCAAACCTGATCAAATCTCCTTTTTTTTTCTTGAAAGAGGCAAAAAAGGATTTGGGCAATGCACCCAGACCCTGATATTTTTCCCAACTTACAACTAAAAAATCAATGCCGTTTCCCATCACAGATTCAAAGTTGAGTTTCACTGTCAAGTTGGGCAAATGCAACTCAACAAAGATTTTAAATGAAACTGCATATTGCCACATACACAATACTCACCAAGATCATAGTTTTACCAAGTTGTGAAATGCATCAATATGTAAAATTAAAAATACAAGATAATAATATCTCCCAGTAATTTCATTACCTGGTTTTCATTTTTCATTTTGTCTTTTGATGAAGGCACAAGACATTCCAGAATTCTAGAGAAGATACCCTGTTATATTTAAATATAAGCTCAGAGCTTAGCAAATCCAGAGTTGTGAAATGCATCAATATGTAATATAAATACAGGATAGTAATAATATCTTCTGGCAATTTTATTACCTGGTTTTCACTTTTCATTTCATCTTTTGGTAAAGGCACAAGACGTTCGGTGAAAGCTATTGGCACAGATTCAAATCTAGACCTTAGCATCCCAAGTGTACGTATCTAAGGGTGGCCAAAATGCATAGCTAAAGTTCAGAACGGGGAAAAATAAAGTAAAATGCTTCCTATTCATTATTTCTATACAGAAAAATATAGTAGAATCTAAACCAAGAAAAAGCAAGCAAAGAAGAAGACTTGAAAACTCTTTATCAAGAAACAATAGTGATTGTTCTAGAAGGATCACCAAATGTAATCAGAGATGGCATGTTTCATCAAGGCATGAGAACAAAATGGCCACTAACCTCCCCCAGGTGGCTGAATGCTCCATGTATACCACCAAATATGGTGGAGAAGATAGCATACCATATCTGTGCATCCATGAAATACACCTATACGCAAACAACATCACATAGGAATCTAAAAAAAACATAGTGCAAAGGCAATTTGAATATCATATCTTCTCAGTTGCTTACCAAAACAACAGGTGCCCATATGGAAATGACAACACCAATATTATGCTTTACTGCATCAGTTTTGATATCTCAGTATAGGCAAAATTTTCAGACTAAAAACCCAACAAACTATTATCAGGGTAAATGAAATCTTACCATTGGGAAAGAACTCATGCCAGGTATAACTACTCACTCCTATCTCCATGATCAGCTTTGTTGGTTCAACTAAAGGGAATATCTATTTACAGAAGGTTTCAATCAGGACTTGTACACATTCCAATCCATTGGTTGAAAATATCTTTAAAGAGAGAAACTCCATGATGCTCAAAGTTGACATTGGGAACATAGCAAATGGTTTTCCATAAAGTGCAATAAAGAAGGATTTTTACTTGTTTGATTTTACTGATAACAGTTTAAACAGACTTTACAATGGCAATAGATATTTAGAAACAGCAATTAGTAATCAAATCTGAGGAATTGAAACACAAAATAGTAGAAAAACCACACAATAGCAATATGCTATTGAGAGAAACAGACATTTGCAAATTTTAAATCAAAAAAAAAAAGAGAATTGATATATTAGTGTTTCTCTAAAAGATGCCAGAGTATGTTATATACAAACAAGCTTGCTTCTGTCTCATAATAATCCTAATGCAAAACCACTAAAATCAAAGATATCAAATCTGTGGACTCATACACAACAAATTTTTATCAACTTACCAATTCTACCAAATTATAAAAAAAAGGCCATTCCTAAAATTAGGAAACTGCTCAATTGTGGACTCAACAAAAGAATGACCATAACATGCAAACTACTAATGTTTTTTTTCTTTTTTGAATGATAGAGTGTATTATATTACCCAAAAGGAGAGAGAAATTCACAAGAAGTGATCAGGCCATGTAGGCCATAGCAGAGAAAAGGTATAGTATACTGTTTATGGAGTGTCCACCATTTACTACTTTACAAAATCAACAAAAAGAATCCCCTCCCACAGATTTATGAAATGCTCTCTTTTCACACAAACTACTAATATAAGAAATCAGAATTACTAAAAATAGCAACCCATGGTTTACTATAAATAGTAATTGTGGAAATTACTACAAATATTAAGTAAATCCAGATCAGAATCCGAACAGTATTGATGGAAGCCTTGAAAAACACTCTTCAATCTTGTGTAGAAACCAAAACTCCCATGCTGATACAAATGACCTGCTCTGATACCATGTGAGCAGAACTGAGAACAAGAGAGAGCAGATTCAGGGGTGTCAAGAATAGTCAACCCCCATCCCAAAGAGCCCCTTTTATATCAAAAGATATGTACAGTTACAAGAATGCCCCTATAGGACTGAAAGATAAAAAGAGCAAATAAAATAATAATACTGTATAACAAGGACTATACTAATAATATACATCAAGATATATCTTCACAACTCCAATAGGAAGGAATTGAGAAAAATGATAAGGATAAGGCAAATAGAGGAATGTGTGGGGCTGTTAGCGAAGCTTCAAGAGGTGGAAGTAAATCCTTCACTTCCAGATGCTAGATGGTGGAAAGAAAATAGAAGTGGAAGATTTTCCGTCAAGTCCCTATACAATGCTTTGTCCAGAAATCAGGCAGAGTCTGATTCAATTAAAGGGGTTTGGGGGAAGCCAGTTCCCCCAAGGGTGGAGGCTTTTGCTTGGCTCATTTCAATGGGAAGTATCCAGACTCAAGACAATCTGAAAAAGAAAGGTCATCAGTTTCCGAGTAGATGCCCACGTTGTTTGTCTGAACTCTGAAGAGGAGCTTATTCTTCACCTTCTAGTGCTCTACAGTTTCATTAGGAGTATTTGGGCCTATTTTTTTCAAGCTGTTCAACATGGATGGATGGGGTCCTAGTGACTGCATGGAGATATTTGGCTGCTGGCCAAGGGTGAATGGAAGCATCAGAACAAAAATCATTTGGAGCTGTGTTCTGTTTACTGTATGCTGGGAAACCTAGAAAGAAAGAAATAAGAAGGCAAATCAAGAAGCAATAGAGAGTTAGGGGCTGTCATCAGTTCAAGGATTGTAGGGTGGCCCTTAGTTCTGCCAGAATTCGAAGGTTTAAGCAAAACAAACTTTGGAGATGACTTCTGAAATACTTTGAATCTATAAGTGATGAGGGATAATTTGGTCCTCCGAATTACATATCGACACGTGGCTTTCAAGTGACACCTCAGCACTGAGCAACCGGATCACCTCGGCAAGTCGGTTTGTAGCACCTCACCTAGGCCAACCTCAAATACCTTGGCCAAGCCAGGCTGATAGGTCTCCCAGCGAGTAAGCGACCTACCGGATGAGCTACGAGAAGTACTATTGGCGATCTGCAAGGCAAGCTCGTTGACTTGTCACATAGATCCGTTGCTAGTCCAAGATCTCCGGAGTACTAACGAGTCAACCGTTAGGCCGGCCTACCGCATCGCACGCATCGGAGTTAATCGAACGGACCACAACCCCTGCGCGAATTATGTAACCGACATAATTACTCTCCCAAGTTAACAGAAATGGCTCCCCGAGAACCTAAGACCCGTTGCAAGAGGTCTTAGGTCACTCATGTCTATATAAAGCACCCATTTCACCTGAGAAGGTACGCACAATCAAGCTCTGGCATTCTCTTATCTCTTAAGAACTCTCAACACAACTTGTTGACTTAAGCATCGGAGTGCCCCCCCTGGGTAAAAACAACCTGGGCACTCTAGCTTTACCTCTCTTGCATAACAGTTCAGCTCGGCCATCCTTAGCTCGGCCACCAACAAGGCAAGCATCCGAATCAGCATCCGAGTCATCAGACACATGAGAGTCGCCAGATCGCACTACACCAACAAGTCTAGTTGTAATTTTTTGCTTCTCTTTTGTAAGAGTTGGGGTGACCTCTTGTCACTAAATCATTGTATTTTCTGCCTGATTGAATGAAAAGGGTAAACAGAAAAGAAGTTCAGTGCAGCCCATGTTGTTACTATCTCAACCTCTCTTGATAGTAAGTCCGATCCTGCTTCATCAGCTTCTACCATTGCTACCCAAAGTAATTCTACTAGATCTAGATCAAAGCAGGGTCTACTATGTAGCATACATGATCAATTGGAACAATTTGGTAGGGTTCTACAACACTTGGAAAAGCCCGCCTTGACACTTTCTACATCTTATGTTGAAGGCTCAAGTAAACAGGTCAATGCTCTACATGTCTTTTACTATTCCTTTCAAGGCTTCAATGATTCAGCGGCATCCAACCATATAAGTGGTAAGCCCACCCTTTTTTCTTCCTATTTCTTGGGTATCCCTTTGCTTAAAAGGGGTACAAGTGCTATGACCCCATGTCTCAAAAGTTCAGGTTCAGTTCCCATTACCTATTCCTTCCATGATTCCTACTCCCACTATCCCTCAATAACCTTATGTTTACTCTCACCATCAAAGGATTCAGCCTCCACATGTAGGTGTGGAAATACTAAAGGCAATTTGTGCTACATTGTCTAACACTCACAAGGTAAATCCTACACATAGTCCTCTTCAACAAGGTGATCAAAATGAATTTGACTTGCCAAATGCAATCCATAAAAATGTTTGTTCTTGTACTAAACATCCTATTATTCACTGCACCACTTGTGATACTTTGACCCCATCCAATTGTGCTTAAATTTTTTAATTTTTTGGCATAATCGGTTAGGGCATTTGTCTTTTGCTTCTTTGCGTTTTTTTGTTTCCAAAATTGTTTTAGTCTGTCAGCTTGTCTAGCTTGGAGTGTGAAGGTTGCCAACTTGGAAAGCATTGTAGACATTCCTTTAAAGCAAGCAATAAAAGATGTTCTTCTGTTTTTGATGTGGATGATTATTCTCGACACTCTTGGGTATATTTGATGAGATCCCGTGATGAGGTACCGTCTTTGGTTCAACAGTTCCATTAGATGGTGTTGACGCAATTTGGGGTACGAGTGTAAGTGTTTATATCAGATAATGACAGGGAATACTTTGAAAAAAAAAAACTGACATCATACCTATTGCTGCATGGAGTAGTCCATCAAAGCAATTGTACATACACTCCACAACAGAATGGTGTAGCAAAAAGGAAGAACAAACATATTGTGGAAGTTGCAAGAAGCATGATGTAGCACTCCGTTCTTACAGCAGTTTTCTTAATTAATCGGGTGCCTTTTCGTGTTCTTGGATATAGCACTCCATTTAGTTTTCTTTTTCCTAAGGGGGAGATGTTCCATATTCCTCTAAAGGTTTTTGGATGTGTACACTTTGTCCATGTTCTTGGTCCTCACCGCTTAAAGCTGGACCCTAAGGCGAAGAAGTTTGTCTTCCTTGGGTATGCAGGAAACCAGAAGGGTATTATTGTTATGATCCAGTCTCCGGGAGTCAGCATGTTATTATGGATGTCACTTTTTTTGAGTCCACACCTTTTCTCTCGAGGGGTTCTTCTTAGGGGGAGTGTTTTGGGGAAGGAAGTGAGCAATCTATACCACTTCTTGTTCCAGCTCATTTGTCCACTCTAGTGTCTGACCCACCTACACAACCCACTTTGCCACCTCCATTGTGTCCTGCCTCTCAGTGTTTTACTCGACAACACCTACGATAGCACAGGGAGGTTGATTTCACAGCAGAGGAACCCACATCATTCCCTATCAGCTCATCAGAGATTCCTGGTTCAACTGACATAGACCCAGATATGCTTCTTGTTTCCTCTAATGGTTTAGTTCCTATTGATACTACTATCCATACACCTAACACCATTGCAGATGACCTAGACCTCCCTATTGCACTCCAAAAAGGGAAGAGGAAGTGTATTGCTCATTGCATTTCACACCATCTTTCCTACAATGGATTATCCCCTTCATATCGGGTCTTCCTTTGCTCCCTCAATTCTGTGTCTATACCCAAGAGTGTTAGTGAGGCTTTCTCCAAACCTAAGTAAAAGACAGTTGTGTAGGAGGAAATGAAAGCATTGATTAAAAATCAAACATGGGAGATTATGGATTTACCTCATGGCAAGGAGATAATTGGATGTAAATGGGTTTATACAATGAAGTACAAGGCTAATGGAAGTATAGAAAGGTACAAGACGAGGTTGGATACAAAAGGGTACACTCAGACTTATGGCATAGATTACTTTGAGACTTTTGCACCAGTGGCCACTCTTCCAACTTGATGTGAAGAATGCTTTTCTTCATGGGGACTTGTAAGAGGAGGTGTACATGGACCTTCCAGTTGGCTTTTACAATGATGTGGAATTGTGGATAAAGGAAAGGTATGTAGATTGAAGAAGTCTCTATATGGTTTAAAGCAATCACCCAAAGCTTGGTTTGACAAGTTCAGAAGTGCATTGGTTGTATTTGGCTATACTCAAACTCAATCTGATCATACTCTTTTTGTGAATAGGAGGGGGTCACTGGTGCCAATTTTATTAGTATATGTGAATGACATTGTAGTCACAGGAAATGATCTAAGTGAAATTGAAACCTTGAAGAAGAATTTGCACAAAGAGTTTGAGACTAAGGATCTTGGGGAGCTGAAGTACTTTCTGGGCATTGAGGTGACAAGGTTTTAATAGTGTATGTGAATGACATTGTAGTCACAAGAAATGATTTAAGTGAGATTGATACCTTGAAGAAGAATCTGCACAAAGAGTTTGAGATTAAGGATCTTGGGGAGCTGAAGTACTTTCTTAGCATTAAGGTGACAAGGTCCAAGCATGGGATCTTCATCTCACAGAGGAAGTATGTTTTGGATCTACTATAAGAGACGAGAAAACTTGGGGCAAGGACAATTGATACACCTATTGATCAGAACCACAGAATAAATGCTTCAGAAGGTGAACTAGTGAAAGATGTTGGAAGGTATCAGAGATTAGTGGGCCAGTTGCTATACTTAAGTATGACACAACCAAACATCTCTTATGTAGTAAGTGTGGTGAGTCAATACATGCATGCCCCACGAGTTCAACATTGGGAGGTGATTGACAAGATACTTTCCTATTTGAAGGGACACCTAGGTAGAGGCATATTGTTTGTTGACCATGGATAGTTGAAGTTAAAGGCTTACACAGATACTAATTGGGCAGGGTGTTTAGATGATAGGATATCAGCATCAAGAGTTTGCACTTTTGTTGGAGGTAATCTAGTTTTGTGGAAGAGTAAGAAACAAACAGTTGTGGCAAGGTCAAGTGTAGAAGTTGAATACAAAGCCATGGCACATGGTGTTTCAGAGCTCCTCTGGGTCCATTCCTTGTTAGGGGAGATTGGAGTTGACGCCGAAGAACCTATGATGCTATACTATGACAATCAAGCAGCAATTAACACTACCCACAACCCAGTTTAGCATGATAGGATGAAGCATATAGAAGTAGATAGACACTTTATAAGGGAAAGGATGACATCTAGAGAAATTTGCTTACCATATATTGCATCTGACTTGCAGCTTGTTGATGTTCTTACAAAAGGTGTTGCAAGAAAGAAGCTGGAGCATGATCTACGCAAGTTGGGAATGTATGACATCTATTCCCAACTTGAGGGAGAGTTTTGAGTTTTGGGCTGATATCACTTGTTTTATTTACATAGCATGGTTAGGGAATTATTGGGCCCAAGGCCCACTAGTTTATGCTTAAGTTAAGAGTGTTTATTTAGATCTTACAAGTAGCCGACTTACTAAGGGCATACTTGTCTTTGTACTCTGTTTTTATTTGTGAGTATATAAGCTAATGAAAGGGGCAGCCAGACCTATTTTTGGCTTCTCTCATTCTCTTCAATCTCTCTCCTCTTTTCTTCTCTGCATAAACCTTCTCTTTCTTTTCTTCTTTCTTTAACAGGTTTTATATCAGAACAGATCTTCCAAACTTTTCTACTATACGCAATAATGGCTTCCACAAAGAGGTTTGGGATGCAGCCTCAAAGGCAAAAAAACAAATTTACAATTGAGCCCAAAATAACTAATTCTTATGCACCCCTTGCTTAGCAAAAAAATTTGCCAACCCATTTGTCGATCTCCTTTCCCATTGAAAACTAATTATCACATTTGTGGTTAGCCACTTCCCACTTGAATCTTCACAAAGCCCCCCTATAGGACCAAGCCACTGTCTACAGTTCCTTCAGCCACCCAATTACCAATTTAGAGTCATCTTTAACTAGCAATCTCTCATAGCTCAGCTCTCTAGCAATCTTTCCTCCCTGTAAGATTGCTCGCATTTCTGCATTGACAACATCCCCCACTCCAATGGGACCAGATAATAGTTCAATAACCTAACCTTCTGCATTTCTGAACACTCCTCCAATACCAGAGGACCTAGGATTACCTAGACCAGCCATCAAAATTTAGCTTGATAAAGCCTTCTTCAGGGGGCCTCCAATCTACCACAAGCTTGTCCTTGACAGTAGAGCATTTTGCAACAAGTTCCCAATTCCTCCAAATGTCATCAAAGGAGAAGTGTGATAACAAGTCCGAGGCTTTGGCCCAATTTATAGCCTTGTTAATTATACAATCCCAAACAGCAGCCTCATCCCTCTCATTATCATTGAAGATTCTAGCATTTCTCTCCTCCCAAACAGTCCATAAAGAACATTCCTGATTTGTTCTAGTAGCTTCTTTCTTTGCTTCCAAGTTTGTATCACTTTATTAAGAAAAGAGTCAAAGATACAATAATGTAACCATGGATGGTCTGAAGAGACTATTGGCATTTATACCTTATCTAAGCTTTTGAACAGACTGTTGATGTTAGAGGATGTTTTATCTTCTTCTAGATGCAAATCTTAGCGTTTCATTTTGTTGATGCATGCAACTTTACATTGTTGTCTTGTCGATAAACAAAACAATATAGTATATAAATCTTTTCCTTTTTCTAGTAATGGCACAGATTTTAAAGGAGAACAAAGTCACCTCAACATAATAGCTGAATGCTAACTTGCTGATTAGAAGAAGGATCCAGAATAGAGTATATCTGACCATACAAAATGTTATCTTGTTAGAGAAACATGAATAACTGAACAACCTGGAAATTAGTGCAGTGCAATTACTTACCGGAGAAGTGAGAATACGTCCTCATGCATGCCTCTTCCCACATACAGTTTTGGCTGTAAAACAATTTAAGTTTAAATAAGCAATGATACCAACTAATGAAAAGTATAGGCAACTAGAAAATGAAGAAGAGATGATGGAAGAGATGCCTTGCCTGGGCCCACCACATAAGAAAAGCAATAATCCGCGAACTTGAACGCTCCATGGATCTCCGTAAAAATGGAAACATGAACAGTAGTGCAGCCAATATATTGGGAATGGCATATATCACAATAGCATAGTTATAAAATGACTGGTTTTGCCAATTACCAACCCAATCACTGAAAAATCTTACTAGTCCTGTGGGATTTTGCACAGAGCTAGAATAGCCTATTGGCAGCACTACTACCCAGACAGCTGCAACTATAAATTTCAGAAGGTACCGAGCAATTTGGGTAAACTTCAAACTTCCCCAAGCTTTCCAATTAAGAATTATGTCCAGAGTAGCTGCACATAAGAGATGGTATATCATAATAAGAAAAATGGTAAAGTTACACAAACTATGGTGTCTCAATCAGAAATTGGTCAACAGCAGGAACTTGCAATCGGTGTTGTCAGACTCACACCAGACAAGACAATTAAACCAGTGACCTTGTGAACTATCCTGATCCCAGTTATTTGACAGTTTTCAGTCTGAATGGTATAAACAGCTGATTTACTGGAAAAGCATGAACCAGTGAGTTTTCCGGTTTTCTGTCTGGTCTGTGTCTCATGCACTGGGCTGCCCTCATCTGGTCTATGTCTAACAGCATTGCTTGCAACTGCCACAGAAACCACTAGACAGCTATATGCAGTAGGAGTTCTCAAGGAAGTTAAAGAGATAGTATACCTTGTAAGAAATTGAGCAAAGCAGAAGTTATAAAAATACTCAATACTCTTTTAAATACATCCTCATCAAAGAAAGCAGCAAGAGACCCAGAAGGATTCCAAGCAATAATTAGCATCGCCTGAAGACCAACAAAGAAAATAGACTGAAATACCAAAAAGGGATAACAACATACAAAAAAAAATGGCTTTTTGAATTGCAAGCAATAAGATAAACCGACTTGATTTTGATCCACATTGAGTATACCTGGAAAGCTAATATAAAGAATATCCACATTCGATCAAAACTTCTGAAAAGGTGCCAAAAGGTACGAACTTCAACAAAATTTGTCTTGGGCTTCCTCTTTTCAGCAACGAAAGAATTCGGTCGCTGAAAAGAAATGCATACATTGACTTGAGAAAGTGCATATAAAAGTTATTAAATTCTGATTTAATAAACTGATTCTCCTTTTTGTAGTATTAAGATTATGATAAATTCTGATTTCTTATAAAACTTAATGAATTTATTATGATTTTTAGTACTAAATTTATAATAAATTATGATTTAGTATAAAAGTTATTAAATTTATTCTGATTTTTTATATTAAATGTAGAATATGATTTATTATAAAATTTAATAAACATTTTCTGATTTTAATAAATATTTTAAAAAATACTAACTAGTTAATATTTTATTACTTGAAAAATATTTTATGTTTTATATTATAAAGTAATTAATTTATTCTTTTGTTTTTATATTTTGTTAATTATTTTTTATAAATATTTTGTTTGAAATATTAAATAGAAATTATTAATGGAAATATTATTAATGTACATTAGTTGACATCTTATCGAAATTAGTTGACATCCTGTCAACATAATAGGAAAAACTGCATTTTTTTTGTTATTTGGACCAATTTGGTCGACATTTCCGAATATGTCGGGTGACATTAGCGACATTTGAAACCATGGATCGGGGTTTTAGAGATGCTTGGGAAGTTGTTATATCTTTTCATGACCCGGCCAGATATTTCTTATGCAATGAGTGTTATTAGCCAGTTCATGCATTCCCCCAAAGATATGCATTTAGCAATTACAGAGAGGGTTTTATGTTACCTGAAAGTTACTCTAGGGAAGGGTATCTTGTTTGCTAAGCATAGACACATGAAGTTGGAAGCATACACTAATGCTGACTAGGCTGGATGTATTGATGATAGGAGATCTACTTTAGGATACTGTGCTATGGTGGCAGAGAACACTGTTTCATGGAGTAAGAAGCAATCTGTAGTGGCTAGATCCTCAACTGAGGCAGAGTACAAGGCAATGGCATATGGAGTTTCAGAACTATCGTAGCTTAGGTCACTTTTGGACGAATTGGGTATTGATTGTGAGAAGCCAATGATGCTATATTGTGATAACCAGGCAGTTATTAACATTGCACATAATCCAGTCCAGCATGACAGAATTAAACACATAGAGGTTGACAGATATTTTATACGGGAGAGAGTTGCTTCAAAGAAGGTCTGCTTGCCATTTGTTGCTTCCAAAGAACAGCTAGCTGATGTTTTGACAAAAGGTGTTCCGAAAGGAAAGCTGATACATTATATAAGCAAGCTAGGCATGATTGATATCTATGCTCAGCTTGAGGGGGAGTGTAGAGAGACTGGGCCGTATGGGCCCCAGTGCTTGTTCTCCTGTTAAGTAGTGTTCTTTTTATTACTTATGTGTTAATGGGCCTTTCTTTATGGGCCTGCTAGCTTTTCTTTATTTTTGTTTTAAGGCCGCCCACTTAAGGGCAGGCTTGTAATTAACTTTGATTAAGTCTGATTGATAAAAGATTAGTGAGAGGAGAGAGAGATCTATCGAACTCTCTTCTTCTTCCTCTTCTTCTCAACCTCCTTCCTCCTACTGTTTTTCCCCTTCTTTTCTTTTCTTTTTGTTGCTGTAATCAGAAACTAATCTCAGATTTGGAGGACTGAATAACATCTCTTTGATACCATGTAGTCAAATCTTTAGCAAAAATAGAGAAGAAAAGAAGAGTTAGAAGAAAGAAAAATGGAAAGATACGAGGCAGAAAATTACTCTGGGTGGCCATACTATTAGTATTTATATTATATGATGTTTTAAAGTACAATTATGCCTTTATGCCCCATATTAGGAAGCAGAAAAAGACTAATAAAAAAATATTAAAATAGGCCCAATAACTTAAGTCCAACTACACAAACAAAAGAATAAAACATAATAACAATATATAAGAAGCCCAGCCTAAGATATTTACTCGTTACAACAGCTATAATACCTGGATATACGAGGGTCTCAAATCATGTCAGATACTTCATTTTTATGTGTAAATGTCATATCCAATACCATGTCCAGCCATGTCCTTGCCGTATCCAGGGGACATAGCTTGGTGGTTTGGATGCTTGAGGATTAATGTATAAGAAGTCAAGAGATCATATTCAAGCTATTCATTACAGTTTTTCTTTTGGTTTTTCTAGGGGTTAATGTAAAATTTGTATATCTTGGAGCAGCAATATTTTTACTTGGTCCACAAAGCCTTAATTTTATACTTTCTTCAATAAATTCTAATTTTCTATCAAAAAAGATAAATTTTTGAAAGATTAGAAGACCTCATTTCTAGTTTGTGGCTCATCTGAACGCACAAAAAAATCAGCTTTAAGGTCCATTGGCCACCCAAGCTTAAAACACTTGTCTGACCTGCAAAAGGATCACAGTTTTCAGCAATTATCATCTAATACAGCTGCCTTCCAGTACCACAAAAAAGATAAAGCATCCCATAAAATCCTTACCAAAAATATTCATTTAGATCATCATAGTTCCTCCAATTTGAGTGACTGCTGCCAGCTTTGTTCTTCCTGGCTTCCTTTTTTCATCATCAATGCTGAGGTATGAATATATGAAACTAGGAGTCAAATAACAAAAGAAACAACAAGATGTTCATTACCTTGCGCATAACCTGATAGATGGGCATTACAACCTTCCGCAGAAATGCCTCTTCACCCTGGAGTGTTGATCGGAATGTACCTCCGCTGACCTCATGCACATTGCTATGCAAAACTCCACATAATTCATGTGCCATCTTATTGTTTAAAACGGAAAAGGGTTAGCCAAAAACAGTTTAAAAAACATAATAAAGGATTATTGTTTTTAATATGCAGAATGTCAGGCAAAAAAATCAAGAGTTTGGATCATCAATAATTATCTGGGCATGTATGATTTGTAGAATATAGTCTATTGGACCTTGTCCAATTTGAAGAAGGCTAGATAATTATCTAGAAAGGTTCAGTAAAGGCATTGTTATGATTGTTGTCATAGTCAACAGGTCTATCAAAAGATTAGAAGGTGGGAATTCGTAGGGATTTTATTAGAACTAAATATATAGTATCATTAGTTATAGATGCAAAGCTGTGAAAAAGTTGGAGGATTCAGAAAATCTATAAATTGAGTAATAATTCAAGATTTCATTGAGCAACAGTGATGTACTGATGAGCCATTTTAAGCTTCCATATTCCACATTTCTCAATTTTTTATCCTTCCAACTTAAAACCCAATGTCCTTAAGTTTTTTTTTCTTTATTTTGCAACTTCAAGTATAGTGCAAAGCAAATTCTATATGTTTTGCAAAAAAAAGACAGATTAATTATTTCCATTTTATTATGTTATTTGTTCTTTGTCCTGTTAATTAAATCCTTGGCTCCTTGCCTTGTTAAGATACTTTGTAGCATGAGAGAGAAACTTTTCTAATAGGTAAATTATCAAGTTGATACAAACATAAATTTAAGGAAACCTAGAGATATAAACATTAAGAGTACTAGCCCTTTTATATGAATGGAAATTGTTGTATATCAGGGAAGGCCCAAGAACCAGAAAATCTTTTTTTTTTGTCAGAAAATAAAAATTTATTAATTCATTAATTACTGATTACAGTACAAGAGTTTTACAGTTTCAGCAATGTAGTGACCCAGGTTACAACAGATTACAAATTAGCCCAGAATAAACTCTGCCTGCTCCTTGCTTGGCTAGGACATCCACCAATCACTTTATTGGCTAGCTGAATGCAGCATCGTATCTTAAATTTTGGGATATCAATAAGAACCTTCATGCTCTTTACTAGCAAAAGAAAACTTACATGATGGAATATATAGCAAATACATTCCGGCATGAACCGAATATTTGAAGCTTCACCCCAAATAAGAAGATACAGTCCAATGTAGAGAAGCTGTAACTGTTGCTTGCCAGTATCCTTTGGAAACCTGGAAAAGGAAAACAATGGACTTAATGAATAAGGATATCCAGATTTAAAGTAGTAAAATCATAATAAAGAAAACAGTAACAATTCCAATACAATTTTGAAGGTATTTGCAACAAGCTACTTACTTGAGGTTTGATTCACGATGAACGTAATTACACCATGACCGATAATTTTTGAAGATCTTATCCAACAAATGTTGTACGGTGGCATCATCCAGCTGCAAGAATTCATATTCTATTTCAATAATGAAAGGACCACATATCTAGAAAGATACAAGGTAAATAGATCGCAGCAAAATTAGACATGCACTGAAGGGAGAATCACCTGGGCTTTAGTCCTTAATGCAATATTTGCAAGTAGCAATATCAAGTGTTCCCTCTGGTTTGCCACATTTCCTTTCTTCAATTCCAAAATATTACAGAAAACAGAATTCATTAGAGGACACAAGGCACAAGCTTTTTGTTTTCTATGCAGATGACAATGACATGTAGTAAAAACTTTAGGAGCAAACTAGGTTATCTCAGGGTTGTTTACATGGATCGTGTCCAGGAATATTCCAAAAATGGCCTGATCAAATTCCTTTTATTACACAACTTGGAGAACTCTTTTAAAGTCAAAAATAAAATATGGAATATTCTTCACCATTTAAAAGAAGGTGAAAGATAATTGGGCTCCAATATTAGTGAGAACTCAAACATTGGATCAGTTTTTTTCTGATCAATGGCAAAAGAGTTTATAGTCTGATTGGAAAAAAAGAAAAAACAAAGAAGAAAAGGACAGCTTTGAGAGAATCAAAGCGGTGCCTATTTTGTCTTATATATTAGAGTGTCATAAAAGTAAAATGACTAGTATTATACCCTTGGGTATGCTAAAGTTACAACTACCAACACTCCTCCAGTTGGGTCGTATATATCTTTCATTCCCAACTTATTACAAAAATTAATATAAAAAAGAAGACTCACTACACCCTTGGGCTGCTTTTGGTAAGTGTAAATGCAAATATGTTGGGTTGATGAAAATGCAAACTCGGTTTGGTTTTGCATTGATGAATTTTTGTATTGTGTTTGGCTTCAAGACTAGAATCGTGGTTCGTATCTCAATAAGAACCTTCTTTACATTGACCAATTCTGACCAAGTACATCTCGTCCCAGCTTCATTGCTGCTTCATTTTGGTGGAGAACCTTTTGACCTAAGAATCGTGGTGGAAGGGACTTACCCTAGTGGATGGTTAGATTTTTTGGAATTGTCAAAGGAAGAGGTTGAAGATGAGGGCATTTCCGGAATAAAACTAGCAATTGATGATAGTGGGGTCGGTGGGACGGGGATGATTGATTTTCGAAACATTGGGAAGGTGGGGAGGGGTGACTTGTGGGAGAATTCGAAAGGGGTTGCTGCTGCGGATTCAGCAGACGCCTTAGGTTGTGGCAATGGAGGAATTGTTGACTTGGGCCTGGTTTGCGCCCTTTCCCAAGCTGAAGAAAATGTTGCAGTTCGCTGGCTCCATGAGGAGGTGGTGATTGAAAGATTAGGGGTGGATTTAGGTAGGATGGAGGAGGCTGAAAAAGTCTGGGAGCAGACAAAGCAGTTACCTCAAAAAATCTCGTGGAGTTAATGGAGCATGATACTCTCATACAGGTCATGTCACCAAAGTTTTCTCTCGGCTGAAACTTGGGTTGGTGGGAGCTGGCTCCACGAAAAACTTCAAGAGGATATATAAGAGAAGAGGAAGTAAGATCATTACGTCGACAACCAAAGCATCTATTAACGAGGATTCTCCGGTTGTCTCAAACACGGGTATTCAGGAGGGGACTTCCCATGAAGAAATTAGGGAGAGCGATTCTGCTCTAATTGAAAGAGTTCCTTGTAAGAAATGTAGAGATCGATAAAAGCCTTGGCTTGTTCTTTTGGGGTGGTGAGGAGTTTGCCAGGAAAGCCTTTGAAGACTTTGAGAGGACGAAGAGGGAAGAAAGATTGAAGAAAGGTGCAACTGGAGGTAGGGAGAAGTAGGATGAAGATACAGTTGGGCAGGAGGAAGTGTTTGAAGGGAAGACTAGGGTTCTTGTAGAGATGTAGAGCAATAATTATTAATGTGGTCCCCACTGCTGCATGTTTGTTTTATGTTATTTATGTTTGTTGTGTTTATGTTAGTTGTATTGTTTATGTAGGCATCAGGGACATTAGTGGAACTTCACTATGTTTTTAGATTACAAACATATAAATTGCTGAGTGGGGCGGCAACTCTAACCACCACATTCTTTCTCTATTTTCTCTTCTTCGGTTTTCTCTTCTATTCTCGGTCTTTCTTTTCTTATTGAATGGTAGACTGATTACAGTCTTTATCAGACAAGTTGGTATCAAAGCCAACCTAGGGTTTCTCATGTGTGTCTGATCCAGCCGATTACATGAGAACTTCCTAGGGTTCAATCTGAGGATTGGAAGTGGCAATCAGCTTTTTCTGGGTAAGTTTTGTTTTTCTTTGAGATTGACACCAATCAGAGACAGATTAGACTTATCTGGAAGGAGCAGTTGAAAGATTTCTGGTTTCTCAGAATTTCTTCTAGGGTTTTCCTAGCCCTACAATCAGCTTTCTGATTTCAGCTTTAGTATTCTGACTGTTAGCAAATTCTGGGTGATTGTTAGACCTGTTTCAGCATTTCAAATTGACTGTTAGATCTGTTTCAGCATAGAGAAGGGTTGTATCTGTGGTTTCTTGCTGAGAATTGAGAGATTTTGATAAACCTCTTAATAGAGATGGAAGGAACTAAGTTGAAGACTTGAGGGCAAGGTGTTTTGGAGGCTGGAAACATGACTAAAAACACTTTTCAGATCACCACTGTCAGATTTGATGGCTCTAATTACTCGGAATGGGCTCAGTCAGATTTGATGGCCATTGGGGATAGAGAGAAATTAGGCTATGTGATGGGGGATATTAAGAAACCAGCCAAGGAAGGCCCATCATATGCCAAATGGGTTCAGGGAAACTATTTGGTCATGATTTGGTTATGAAATTCTATGCAGCCCCACATTAGCCGAAACTATTTGTGGGCAAAAAATGCTAAGGAGATTTGGGAAATCATGAAAGAAACTTACTCCCAACCTCTTAATGTTGTGGGGGCCTATGAACTGAAATGTGAAGTAAATAATCTCAAGCACGCAGAGAAACCAATGTCCGTTTACTTCTCTACCTTGAAATCTTTATGATATGAAATTGATCACCTAGAGACAATTGAGTGGGAAAATCAGAAGGATACAACATATAGAAAACCTATTGAAACCAATAGGGTTTTTAAATTCCTAGCTGGTCTGAATTCAAAATATGATATTTTAAGGCAACAACTTCTCACCAGAGAGAGTGTGACTTGTCTTAGGCCAATTCTCTAGTACACAGTGAAGAAAGTAGGAGAAATATTATGTCGTAATTTCAGCCTATGGAATCAGCTTTAGCAGCAGTGAAACCAAAGTTTAGGGTGACAAGGAAAGGGGGATATAAAGAAGGAAGATATGAGGGAGTTAGTGTGTGATCATTGCAAAAAGCCGGAGCATACCAGGGACACTTGTTAGAAATTGTATCCACATCTAATTCCAGCAAAGCTCAAAAACAAAAGGGGTATGCCAATGTGGCTATTACTACTGATGGTGCATCCTCCTCTAGCACAAGATCCACATCCCTAAACACTTTAGCTACTGTCCGAGCTACTCTAACTCAGTTAGAAAGTGAAGTTTGCACTTCAGCACCCTCATCTCAGCCATCGGTTACAACATCTGCCACTCCTACCTCAGCCTTTGCTCATTCAGGTACAAAAGTTTCAGCATATCATGCTTTATCCCTAGGTAACAATGGACCTTGTTGGGTTATAGATTCAAGTGCCTCTGACCATATGACTGGCTTATCCTCCCTGTTTACTACTTATTGCTTATCCTTTGGCAGAGACAAAGTGTCCATTGCTGATGGATCCCTTGTTCCCATCTCTGGCAAGGGATACATAAGATCCCTAACTTAGTTTCAGTTAGTAGCATCACTAAAAATCAAAACTATTCAGTGACTTTCTTTCCTAATCAGTGTGTTTTTCAGGATCTAAAGACAAAGAATGTGATTGGGAATGGTCGTGAGACGAATGGAATCTACTTACTTGGGCATCCACATGGGAAAGATCAAGAAGTTAGGGGATTATTTGTTTCTCAGTCTGTGAGTTAGATTATGCTTTGGCATAATCGGTTAGGTCATTTATCTTTTAGGTCTTTCAAGAGTTTATTTGAGTCAGTCCAGGTGTCTAGTTTAAAATGTGAGAGTTGTGAACTTGCAAAGCATTGTAGAACAACTTATCCTTTTAGCAATAAAAGAAGCATTGTTCCTTTTGAAATTGTACCTACTAATGTTTGGGGGCCATGTCGCATTTACTACTATGGAGGGATACAAGTATTTTCTGTTGTTTGTTGATGACTATACTCATTTCTCATGGATTATCTTATGCACTCTCGAAATGAGGTCCCTACCCTGACTCAGGCTTTCCATCAGATGGTTTTGACCCAATTTGGAGTCAAAATCAAAATTCTCTGATTAGATAATGCTAAAGAGTATTTTTCAAAACCCTTAGCTTTATATTTCCTTAACCATGGGGTTATCCATCTGAGTACCTATCCCAGTACAACTCAACAAAATGGGGTTGCTAAGAAGAAGAACATGCCTATATTGGAGGTGGTTAGAAGCATTATGCTATACTCCAATGTTCCCATGTGTTTTTGGGAGGATGCTATCCATACAGCTGTGTATCTCATCAACCGAGTTCCTTCATAGGTCTTAGACATGAAAGTTCCATTTAACCTATTATATCCCAATAAGGACTTGTTTAGTATTCCCCTAAGACCTTTGGATGTACTTGTTTTGTTCAAATTCTTGGGCCTAATCACTCCAAATTTGATCCCAAAGCTGCCAAGTGTATATTTCTTGGGTATGCACAAAATCAAAACGGATATTGTTGCTATGAACCTGTTTCTAGGAAACGATGTCTATAGATGTCACGTTCTTTGAGAATGTACCCTATTGTCATAGAGTTTCTTCTCGGGGGGAGAGTAGGGATATGGGTTCTCCTACATCAAAAGTTCCATTACCTATCCCAATCACTGAAGGGGAGTGTAGTGAAGAGGGTAGTCAAAAGTGTAGGGATTTGAGGGTGTTTCACAAGCAATGGAGGCAAGTTGATTTCAATCCTCAACAGTCCAGGCCAACTCCAATTTCCTCTACAGCTCCAGATCCAAGTACAACAACTCTTTTACCTAGCACTACAGATGAGATACCTCCCATTGTTGAGCCTTCACCTCCTTCAAATGATCTTGATCTTCTAATTGTAGTCCGCGAAGGGAAGCACTGTTGTACTTCATCTACTGCTCATTGTATTTCC